CTCTTGCAGATGTCAAAAGCGTTCTCCATTCCCATTTTGGTCAGGATTTTCTCCAAGTCATACTTCTCCTCCATCTTAAATCGAGGGAGCTTGACATCAACCTCGTTGGGGCTCATCATGTCTGGGTGAGTCCAGTCCACAAAGTTCTGATAGGTCAGCTCCTTCTCCAGCTGTGCAGATACAGTGTCACTAGCTTGTCTGATTGAAACTGGACATTTCCTTAAAGTACTGGTAAGTGCATCTTACCTTTTCCAAGCCTGTGGTATCATCTTCTATGTCATTAGGCAGGAATATGAGCATGCTGAGGTCATTTCCTTTATACGGCATCTCAAGAATCTGTCCAGAAACATTGTTTTTATTTATTACTCCATCAAAGATGATCTGACTTCCTAATCTTGAAATTTAGGCTGATATTTGTAAAAGAAAAACAGTCATAAAAGTTTTGGATCATGTTGGTGAAATCCTGTAATGAGCTGAAAGTGATGGATGTTACCTCGCAGTTGGCCTCAGGAATGGTCGCAAAAGGAAATTTACTTTTCTGCTGCATCATCTTCACCGGCTTAGTGTCGTTCTGAAAAATAGGGGAGACAAGAGAAATGTTTTTTGTGTTTAGTCCCAAAATGATCTCAAACATTTCTGTCATGGTTTAATTCCAGCCATTGAGTGGATTTGGATGTAGAGCACACGTCACAACACAATTTATTCTTGTTAGCCGAAGTTTGTGATGTGCTGTTGTTTTAGATTTATTTGAGAACTTATTGGATATTACATGAATAATAAACTGCATTGCATAACTGCATAAAGTTGGAAAGTGATCATCCTAAAAGCACGATTTTATCCCCTCAGAGCTCCAGGCTTTATGTTTTCATTCAGCAAAATCCACAGCTCGTTTGTAGTATGACAGATCAAAGTATAACTGCACCATCCTATGCTGCCTTTCTGCATTGTTACCTTGTTCAGTCGAAACTGTGCATCAGCAGTCATCTCCTCCTTAAACTGCGTGTTCCAGCTGCCCTTGAAGTAAATGGCATTCACGAGAACCAGCTTCGTCAGGCTATCCACTGCATCCTGGCTTAGCAAGTCCTTGATTTTATCTGGTAAAAAGAATTTATGAAAACTATTAACTATTACCAAAGATGCACTAGTTACTGTACAACATCTTCAGCTATAAAATCAGAAAACAGGGCAACAGCAAAATGGTTTTTATTTAAAAAAAAAAAAAGGACAGGTGGGCTTTATGATCAGTATAACAGGGAACAAAAATTGTAGATGCTAAGCCTACGCTTGAAGCCACTGAGGTGGTTGTTAGCTGGGGTGACGCGATGCTACTCGTATGCATGAATTAATTAAACAGTCCAATAACTCCAGCAGTACTTATCTTGTCCTTTTCGGTCTTTGTTCCAAACATTTTTTGCCTTCTTATGATTAACAACACACCTGACGCTGATTACGTGCGTCTACCTTAAAAACCTTACATAAACCTACCATACAGAAACTTAAAAAGGTTACCTCTAGCGGCAACATAAGGTATCAACCCAAAAATGGCTCCTACAAAAATAATGTCTTTTTTCAATTGGGATTAAGATTGTCTCATTTCCAGCAGGTGGCACCACAGTCCTATAACCCTCATGGAAAGTCCTTGTATCCTATTATTATAGATGGTAGATTTATAAAAACAATGAATGAATTTCCTGCTGCACTTAAGATAATATAAAGATATAGAATCAATAGCAGCCAATCCTAAATGGGCCTGAAAAATAAAAATATGTTAAAGACACAAGCAGTGTTGGTCAAGTTACTTGAAAAAAGTAATCAGTAACTAATTACCGATTACTTCCCCAAAAAAGTAATGTGTTTTTGTGCTACACTCACTCTTTCAAATAGATGCAAGTAAAACACAGCAGAAAATAAATAAAGTCAAAGACTAGCGGTCCTGTTGCTCTATTTTCACCTGTAAAGCAGGAGTCAGGCAGGCGGAGGTTTACCCTGGTGCAGGTGTGCCGCAGCGGTCAGTGGAAGGATACGGCAGTTTCTCTGTGAATTTCCCATTACGTTGTTGCGCACTCAGGGCCCTTTCTCAATTCTCAAGTACTCGAGTACGTACTCGCGTTCTCGGCGGGTACGGACTCATCGAGAACGCGAGCACGGACTCGCGATTTGTACAATTGGAACACCAGCGTACTTGATGATGTCACAGGTCCGGAGTTTTTACTGCCGTCCTTAATTTAACTGTGAGTAATATGTTATGAAGCTTAACTTTAATCACAGCCAAACCGGTTTACTCAGGAACAAATAAAAAGCCGAAATAAGCCAAACATTAACATTTAGAAGTGATCCAAGTGACTTATATATCATGTTTAACCTCAGTAGTGAAATCTCTATTAATAAAAATAGTGTACATGTACATACGTGTACATACCTTAATAAAAACAAGCAGGTGAGATGTTAGAACGCTTTCATTTTTATTTTAGTGGACACTCAATACAATAGACAGCTACTGGGGTTTGGGGTTTGTTTAACCTGAGTAGCGAAAAGACGGGGGGGGGGTGGAAAACGATGTGCCGGGAGTCCGCTGTTCTCGCCGGCTGTAATAATCCTCGACCTCGCTGTCTGCTATGGAGCTGGCGGGTCACAGACGTCTCCGAAAACGTCGGACCTCGTTTGGAAATATATGATATCTTGATAAACTGAGCAGATATTCGAAGTTTACACAGCTACATTCTCGCTTGAAAGTACGAGTACGTACCCGCCGAGAACGCGAGTACGTACTCGCGTACTTGAGAATTGAGAAAGGGCCTCGATATATGATCCATTGTTGATCTGCGCACAGCTGTTGTCACGAACGTCGCACTCGCTTACGTCACTGTCACGAGACATTCTCGCAAAAAATCACGGTTTTAGTAACGCAGTAACGCAGCGTTCCTACGGGAAAGTAACGGTAATCTAATTACTGTTTTTGCAATAGTAATCCCTTACTTTACTCGTTACATGAAAAAAGTAATCAGATTACAGTAACGCGTTACAAGTAACGCGTTACTGCCCATCTCTGGACACAAGTGATCAAAGTAGAAGTACCCATCACATCACACATAATATAATAAGAATAGAAGAATTGGCCTGCTATTTACAGCAACATACTGCTGTGATGGTTCTATTAATAGCATGAAACCAAACAGTAAAACCCTGAGATAATGCTGCTTAATACTGAATAGAAATTAGACTGGAAGAACTGGAAACAGAAAATAATGTGGACGGTGGACAATCCGGTAATAATGTCTCAACTGAACACAACACAACTGATCCCCAAGGATTTACAGTGGAGATCATTTAAAGTTACACACATACAGATAAAACTAGTTTACAACCTGACTAGTTTAACCTGAAACATTATAAGAAAGGGGGAAGCCTATCATTCAGTACTGTCTCCTAGAAATTATATCTACATATATCTCAATTATTTTCTAAAATATATGCTAATATATGATACATAATACATTTCCCTGATTTTGTTCAGAGGCATTAGTTAAAATATGAAGTGCTGAAGAGGGCTCGCATTCACTTGCTCACATCAAGAGCGTATGCTTACCTTCAATGTTCCCTCTAAGCTGCGCACGTGCGCAATTGCGCACTGCTGGCACGGTCTCTGCGCACAGAAAATCTGTGTTGCGCACAAAAAAATCTAACCTGAATTGAAATTAAAATTAATACTTTAACAATTCTGTTTTGCAGTGTTAGTCAGTAATTGACTGGCTGCTCCCGTATGGGATCAGAACGATGCCACCTTATCCCATAGTCCAGCCAATGATGTGATTTACATTCCTATATATGCAGCAAATCAACGTGGTTGACAGGCTATGACAGCGTCCTTATGTGCAGACACTAGTGATGGGATTTCCGGCTCTTTTTAGAGATCCGGTTCTTTCGGCTAGGCTAACTAAAAAGAGCCGGCTC